TCTTTTCTTTTGTGCTGTTGATTGATTTCAAGTTTTCTGGGTAGCCGTGAACCTTACACTGGGTTCAGACTTGAAAGCCCAACATGGATTGGTTCCTGGGTATCTTGAGAATCCCCTCCTTTATCTACAACCAGCCCATCCCCTCCCATCCTGCATGCTCAGCTTGGGCGGGGTGCTGAGTCCCTTGCCCATATGAAGGAAATAAGAGTTGGGGTCCAAAGCAATGTTCTTCTGGGATGGGTCCCAACGTGCAGAATAGAGGTTCAACCACCATCTACCTTGAAATCTTTCCCTAAGGCTGTGAAGACAGAGCTCTTTGGCTGGACTTCGGGGACCTGGGTGTGGCTGTAATTAAGTTGGGGTTGGCAAGAGGATTGTATTTTGATTGTTATGGTGAGACATTGTGGGAAGGCTAGAAAAGAATGAAAGAGAACACAGATATAGACAATCAAGAAACAGAAGTCCAGTCTGTTGGCAGCTTATCTCATAAACCGCAACTCAGGCCAGGTGGCAAGAAATCTGGAGGGAAGATTCAAAGAGACTTTGCCTTAATGAACTCAGTGGGAAATACTTCTTACAATTTCCAAAGTTCTGTGCGTCTGTGCTCCAGACTAGCATTAAAGATACATTGCTAAAGTCCATGTAACATGTTCCATTGGCCAGGGACTTGCATTTGGTGGGTCCCAGGAGGCGGGCCTTCTCTGCTGTGGCTCCCTCCTTGTGGAACATTCTCCCCCCTGAATTGAGGCTCACCCCTTCCCTGCTGTCGTTGAGGAAGTCCCTCAAGACCTGGTTGGGTCATCAGGCCTGGACATCTTTGGGAACCAGAGACATTCTTAGATGGCTCCACTGTAATTGATATTCTGCTCCCTCGGTGGGGTTTGTATATTTTAAAATCTTTTTTTTTAATCTTTTAAAAATCTTTTTTTAATCTTTTTTTAAAGTCTTTTTAAAAATTTGTGATAATGTTTTTATTCTAATAACTTTTTATCTTTTTATAATGCCTGTTTTTTATTCACTTGTTATTTTAATTGTTGCACGCCGCCTAGGGTTGCTTTGTGAGATGGGCAGCTATATAAATGTGATGTATAAATAAGTAAATAAATAAAAATAACTCTTGCTTCCTTGATTTTGCCCAGTGGAGACAGGTTTTTTTTGACCGATTGTTTTTACTGATCAGTGTTTTAACTGTAGGCCTCTTTTAATTGGACGTCAAATCACTGAGAGTCAATTGCTTACAGCAATCTATAAATCAAATAATCAATTAAGTACATGAGCTAAAGCAGTATTTTTCAACCTTGGCAACTTTAAGATGTGTAGACTTCAACTCCCAGAATTCCCCAGCCAGCACGTGGGAGATGAAGTCCACACATCTTAAAGTTGCCAAGGTTGAAAAACATGGAACTACAGAAAGGGAAAAAAGACCAGAGAACAGAATAACTGTTCTATTAAGGTCTTCCCAGAAGTTTTAATGCTACAAAAAAAGCAAGCAAAATTAACATTACATGATCATGATTTTGTGTTACAAGACAGTACTGGAAAATGGTAAGAGGAATGCAACTGAAAAATGACTGCTTTTCAATTACATTTCTAGATGTATCTTATGCACAGCTTGGAAAAAACAAGTCCATTTGTATTCCATACCATTAATGTGTTTTTTAAAGTGCTGTAGCCAATACTGGGTTCCATGTATTTAACTAATTTTAGCACAGCTTGCAAACTGGTAGCTATTAAAATTGGTGGGGCACACAAGAAACAGGTTGTGTTATCCTGAATTGGAAATTGGCATGTTCAAAAGAAGTTCATGGCTGGGCAAGATATTTTGCTTCCTAAGCTGAAATACATGGTGATTCCCTATTGCTATTTCACATACAGAAACTGGCTGGAGGAAGAACTGAATCTGACTTCAGCTATTGGTAGCATGTGAGAGTTCTCCACCAAGGCTAAGGTGGCAGGTGAATTTAGAGGGGGGAGGATTGCTTGTAAGGCTTAGGACTGTAAACAGGCCGGAGACTAAGAGAAAGTTCAGTAGTGTGATGCCCGCACCAGCATCTGCCACTTGAGGCAACTACCCTACCAAGCCTTATGGTAGGGCCAGATCCAAAGAGAATCTCAAGTAGTCTAGTTAGAGGAATTGGGTAACCCATAAAAAATGAAACTAAGAATGATGAAAAGAGAGAGAGAGAGAGACTTTGCAAAATGATGATTCTGTTCACAGCACCACTAATGCAGGATTGAGCTCCCCAACTTGTATCTTGGGGAGAGACTTGAACACTTTGTTGACACAAAGTCCAATTCACAAACACTTGCTAAGTTGAAGTTGCCAAACAGAAGGCAGTACAAAGAAACACCAATCTATACAAGATTATCTTGAACCAAGTGAACGTGGTGATTCTCAAAGTGACACGACACTAAGAAGCATTATCCATGTTCCATGCTAACAAGTGAATTCCAGAAGAGAAGTCTAAGCTTATTTACACCAGAAAGTGGTATAAAAGAGTTTACGATGAAAATCCTACTGATTTCACCATACAAACATGCCCCCTCATCTCAGTGATGTTGGAGATTTCACCATGAAGTAGCTTCATCATTTTAAAAACTATCTTTTCAAATATACTTGCTTTCTCCAATAAAACTTAGAGACTGTTTAGATACCTCTGTCCACAATACTAGATCTTTGTAGATTGCATTTTACAGCAGGAATTGATAAATACAGATATATCAAGTCAGCAGCACAGCAAGGAAACATGCCAACAGAGCATTACCTAGCCAGGTGTATTCATGTGTTCTTCCAATGATAATATCATACAATCTTTACATGGGCCTAACTTGCAGTACTGACATATTATTCATAACATAAATTCATTTAACTTATATTCATTTTAGGGGAGAATGTGGAGGGTCACTAAAACCAAAGTACTGATTCACTGTGGAAACAAGAGATAGCTATGACAGGAGACCGTGTTTCTGGGTTAACTTCTGAGAAGCAAGCCTCTATATTTAACTCTACAATGGATGCTGAGTTAACCCTGCTGACAACAACTGGAAAGCCCCTACTTTATAGTCCATGCATGAAGTGCTTGCGAACTGCAGGCATAAACATATCGGGCAGATATCAAGTTGAGGGAGGTTGACTTGCGTTGGGGAAAGCCAGCCTAAATATTGTCAGTGTGAAACAAATGTTCTTCCCTTCCTCCAATTCTACAGAAATAAAAGAATCTCCTCCCCGTCCCCCGTCCCCGAGTCCTTACCTCCATGATAGGACTGGAAGCCAGGACCTTCTCTTCAATGTTGGACTCGCTGGAGGACCCTCCAACTGATGCAAAGAATCGCATGGCGTATTTGGCCGAGACTGTTTTGCCTGCACCGGATTCCCCACTAACAATAATGGACTGGTTCTTCTCATCCCTAAACAAAGGAGAAGGCAGAAGTTACTCGACATTTCTCTCTATTCTTGCCAACTTTGCCATTACTGCTTCACATGGCCAAGCCCGCTTTTCCATTCCCTGTTCATGAAATGGGGTAGCACAATTTGACTTGGTGCAGATTCGATTCCTCCCATCCCAAGAATCTCTACTTTATTTAAAATTCATTTATTGCTGCTTTAGAGAGCTCTGCATACCAACCTTAAATCATCATATAATTCTTTCCTTGACATGATTATGTGTTATCCTAAGAGACTGCGACATGGGCTTCCTCAAGAACCTTCCAGCCAAATACTAAATTGTCACACCTTTATAAACAACCATACTGTGTCTGCCACTCACAGCATTCAGGCTTCCTTAATATAGGCTATCACTTACTTCTGCCCAAGAGGGATAGAAAGCCAATTATTCTTAATGCCTTGACATGGCATACAGCTTTGCAAGTAGCAATCCAAAACCTCCACTCCCTTTTCGTTGCAGACATAGAGGCTTCTTCGGCATGGTTGCTACCTAAACAGATCTTCCTTCACCCCGGTCTTCCATCTGGAAACGTGGAGCATGGAAAGCCCTTCTGAATTTAGAGAACGTCTTAACTAATGAACAGATTTACGGAGGAAGTCCAAGTGTACAATAATTACAGCCAGGGAAGAAAACCACCAATTACCAAAGTCTCTTGCTTGTTCACAACAAAAACATTTTTTTAAAAAAAACCTAAGTTAATGCCAAAGATATTAAAATAAAAACATCCCAAGAGAGGCTTGTTTTAAAAGGCATATTTTGAAGAACTTTTTAAAAACCAACAAAGAGGCAATCCTGTTAATTCAGCAGGGAATACTTTCCAAGGCTTGTGACAGCTACAGAGAAAAATCCATCCTGAGGTCCCACAAGGTAACTAAAAGATAATGGCTTCTTTATGTTGGGCTTGACTCCTAAGGACTATAGGAACACACCCATGTTGTTTGCTTGGCAATAATATGGAAAGGTTTACCACTGCATTATTCCAGGATGTTTCCATTTAGTTCCCAATCTAGTCTACAGGTCTTGGCCTTCTTGATCTCCCCCAAGATCAACCATGCTTAGTCAAGGTCAGCTAAATGCCTGTACCGAGCAAGTCCACACCAATTAACCTCAAATGATCTCAAAAAATGGGGGAGATTGTTTACAACAGTGTTTCTTAAAAGTGTGATATTAGGATCCCTGAGGGTCTTCCAAGACCCTCTGAGGGATCTGCAAAATCAAAATTATTTGCCAGCCTATGTTGAAAATAATACAATATTAAAATCCCATCAAACAATAGTGAGAAGCAGTACAGCAGCAAATGTGTCCATTTTAATTTTTAATATGGTAAATATCAATAAATATAACCCATGCAAACAAAAGCTCTTTTGGGGTCCACCATAATTTTTAAAAGTGGGAAGGGGTTCTGAAAGAAAAAAGTTTAAGAAACACTGGTATAGAAGAAGATATCTCTCAGGTAACAAAGATGCCAGCCACACAAGGCTTTAATGATAATAATGACCATTTCGTATCTCTCTTGGAAACAAAACGGGTAGTGGGTTTTAGCTACTCGGTACGCTATAAAGATTAAGAGTTTTCTGGAGTACACAGGAATTAATCACAAGAGATAAACCAAGTTTTCACAAGGTCCAAATGCAGGATCTATAAATAATCCTACTCCTATTTGTTGGTTTTGTATCTTTTGAGTATGATTTTAGGCCATCTGCTTTAAAAAAAAATGAAAAAAACTCTGCACAATATATTTCTAACCAATTAGGGATCTCACTGGGAACATCTTCACTGATCCGCACTACATTGCCAATTTGATCTGACTATGTGATACCATCTCTATAAGCTAATGATGCCCATGCCCTCACCAACGGCTCACACCAATGTTGTCACCCTTGCAGATTCAGAGGGTAAAATAACGTCCCCAAGTGAGCAAGGGGAGACTCAGCCTTACATTTCCAGTCACTGCAGTGTGTGTGTGTGTAGCATCTAAATACAGGGCTTGGGGTATCATTGTCTTTAATCTCTCCTTGCCCCTTTGTATAATTTTCAAACTCAAGAATAAGCAAATGTATGACAACATTTAATCTGTAGGACAGATATAGCTTAGAGTTCTACTTATGACTGACCAATGTTTGTGGTATCTTATTTATTCATGCTTATAAACTTCTTCATGCCCCAGTATTTTGATTGATGGTGACCATGTGAACAATGAGAGACCAGCAAGTAGACTGGTCCTTCAAATCTCTCCAGAGAAGGAGAGAATGGGAGGTCATCCACAAGTGCTCTGAGTGGCAGCTCCCTGTGAGGAGACCATAAAACAGTGGTTGCCCATGGGTTTGAGTAGCAGGAGCTGGGGGAGACGACATCTTTCCTTTTAGTGGCCTCTAATAAGGACACTAAGCAAGCTGAACTCACTTTCTAATCACATTCGGAAATGTTCAGTTTAATCCACTTTATGGATATTAGAGACCTTCAAAATGGCTAGCTTAATTTGACACCTGGTGAGTTTTACCTTCATTTTCAGATTTAAGAAATTTTTAAGAGATGTAAGAGTTTAAAATAATATTCAGTTGGCAAAAAAAAAAAAAAAAAAAAA